GAGACAAAATGATCCTCTTACCCATGAGGAAATCAAAAATGGTCATGTCCATGATATCCAGCAGGCGTGTGCCGCTGTCATAGGGTGGCGTCTGCTTCACCTCTTCACAGTAATCAGGATCCACCTCCCACCTACAAACACACACACACAGACACCCCTCATTAGCTTACACTAACACACACACTGTTCAATGCAAAACAGCACAACATGATGAAGGTCACTGTAATGAGACACTAGAGGGCTCATGATAATCTGAGGAGAAACTGGATAATTAGAACTGAGCAGATAAAACATGTTGCATGTTTAATACCCTCCTATTGAAGATTTTTATAATGAATATGTCCTGTATTTCAGCCTCTAAATCAATTATTTCAGCACTGTTCCAATGAAAGAGCTTCATGTTAGGACAGCTGATCTTTAACCTTTAAATTTATATTATATATATATATATTTTTTTTTATTGTATTTCTCTAAATAAAATGTGCTGTGTGGTCCTCACTCTGCTTTCTTGCGTTTGTGATAGGACCGTCTCCAGGGGTTTCTCCAGGTCCTGCGCTTGGCCAAGGCCAGGTCGGGCAGAAATGCTGCTAAAGAGCCCTCGATCTGGTCAGGCTTCCCACACAGAGCATGCTCAGTGGAGCAGTAGTACGAACATTCACCGTAGAAACAGATGTTATTGGCTGGAGGGATGATAGAGCGTAATTTTAAAAAAAAAAAAACACTTAAATTGATGGCACTGACTAGTTCAGTATATTTATAATGTTGCTTTTAAAGTCAACATAAAATTAAAAATGTACCTCATTAAGGCATGTTTCTTACCTTATTGTGCATTAAATGTTTTTGTAAAAAATATGTATGTATCTCTGCATTGCTGCTTATTTACTCTGTATTGTGTTGAAAACTAGCAACTATAATTAATCCTCCTTCAGCATTTAGTAAAAAAAAAAAATGTGTCCAGATTATTATAAATTTATTGTTTTACTTATTGCATTAAACATTTTAAGTCTACTTTACAAAACTGGTTCCTTCCTCTAATTGAAAAGAAAAATCACACTTTTAAGCAATTTCAGAGAAAATACATGCAGTGGTGTGAAAAAGTGTTGGCCCCCTTCCTGATTTCTTATTTTTTTGCATGTTTGTCAAAAACTGCATGTTGTGTTCACTTGTGTTATCTTTTACTAATATTCAAATTTGTTTGATGATCTTTAACATTAAAGTGTGACAAACATGCAAAAAAATAAGAAATCAGGAAGAGGGCCAACACTTTTTCACACCACTGTAAATACTGAAATAAACTGAATATTGTAAAAAGGATGAATAATACTACAATTTAATTTTGAGTTAAGTTAAATACTTTTCACAAATCAATCAAACAACATTTTTATTGAATATCCTGTTTCACACGGAAACACATCATATTATTGCACTGGCTGTGGACAGTATTTCATATTGACTTTAAATGATGGTTTTTAATCATGCAGACTGGAGTAATCAGTCTGAATAAATTACATCACAAGAATAAATTACATTTTAAAATATATTAACCTCTTAACCTGCACCCCTATTTTTGAGCATTTTCTGAAAAACGACATACCCAAATAAAAATGTCTGTAGCTCTTGAACCCTGTGGTCTATATTCAGAAATCTGGTCTTGTTTGAAACTAGACACTTAGAAAATAGAAAATAGAAAACTGTTATTTAATATCGTAATAATATTTCACAACATTACTGGTTTTACTGTATTTTTGATCAAATAAACGCATCTTTGTGAGCATACGAGACTTATTTCAAAAACATTACTTTTTTTTAAGAAGGGTAGTGTATATTGCTCAATGTCAGCCTATAAAGGGAATTATATGGCACAAATCTGAAGTTGGTGTCAAATGAGGTCTCACTTGAAAATTAATTGACCAACAGCGCCATCTACTGGTTACTTACAATGTTAAGATAAAATGCAATGCAAAATATAATAATAAAAAAAGAAGAAGAAGAAGAAGAAGAAGAAAAAAAAAAGAGCACACCTTGAACTGGTGATCGGAAATGACCTTGCCTCATTTAGGGTTGTATGGGCCAAAACTAACTAACTGAAAACCATTCAGTGCTTATCAATTGATAACGGAATTAAAGAGTAAAGAGAAGAGTAAAATGTGACTCCTGCGGTGTTGTGTACCTGGTGAAATGAAAAAGGTTCTCCACAGTTTTTTGTCACGGGTCACATCTCGTATCTCTTTGGTCATATTCACCAGTCGTCCAGCCACTGGCGGCACTCGACAGAAATCCAGGATCCTGTTGATCAATCAACGAGACAAATTTCATAATATGTTCACTTTTACATAATAGTTCATACTGTTCATAATTTACATATTAAACGTTTCATATTAATACATTATTATATTATATTATTATTATATGTATGTATATAAACTTTTTAAATGGAATATTGTAAACTAAATTAATATACACTCAAATGACCAAATTCATATAGCAAATTGTTGGGCAAAACTATGGCACTAACTTACCAGTAGAGGGCACTAAAACTATTCTAAATAAAATACACTTCATAGATTTTGAATAATAAATTACTTCTCTGTCAAGGGATGTTTTTTTTTTAATCACAGCCTTTTTAGTTACTCTATATTTCATATTTCATAACTGGGGAAACAATAAATTTTCATTCATAATTTATTGTATCTTTTGACCGAACTGACCTTGAACGAAAATGAATTTATTGCTGAATGTGACAAATTTGTAGGCTTTCTTTCTGACTGAACTGGTTATGTGTTTTAAAACCTATTCACCCTGCGTGCAAGTGTAAGGCCCTCTGCTGACAGAGCAAAAAAAAAAAAAAAAGCTCCCTGAAAACAACTAATGGACAGGGCCCTAAGGGATAAAAGCACTTGAAGCTACTAATTGCCCAGTCATGCTGACAGAGATGACAGAGAGAGTTTGTGTGCAGGAGTGTTCTTCTCCGCTCTCACCGTCCGATGTATAACTCAGAGGGAACTGTGGGGCAAATGAAAAGCTGTCTTTTCAAACCACTCTTCTACCTCAATCCTGACATCCTCCCCAAAGCCACGCTACAATGAGCCTTTCCCATCGACTAAAATCATATAATTAATGGTACTTTGTCAGATATAGCTGTGGTGGGCTTGCGAGGACAGAGAGGCCCACTGGGTGATGGTGCTTTTAAATAGAAATAACAACCTGCAATTTTGTCTAACCCAGATGAACATTATTTAGAAAAGCTAGTGTTTTTTTCATGTTATTGGTTTGCGCTTTCTACCCACACACATGCCTGTGTGTACAGACTAGATTTTACTCCCGGCCAGATGTGCAGATGGAAGTGAGGCGGACCAGGCCGGTCTGGGCTGGGCAGGGCCTGCTGAATGATTATACTGTGCCCAAGACTCACGCTGGGTTCATCCTGACTTATGCTCACACTGCTGGAGAGGAGAGGAGAGGCGGAGTGCTTGACAGAGAACAGCACAGGACACCACAACACGCCAGTCGTGTGAGGGATAGAGTGGAGCAGGGCCACCACTAAAATTCTCACATTTTTATGGCTTGGCCCCCTCTCCCTCAATGAGCAGAAAAAAATCACTCCAAAAATCATCTTCTTAATGATTATTTTGTTTTTCTGTAAAAAAAAAAAAAAAAAAAAATTTTTAAAAAAAAAAAAAAAAAAAAAAAAAAAAACTTTTTTCTCCGTACAAATGAAAAAAAAAAAAAAAAAAAATTCTTAAAAATAATAAAACAAAGATCAATAACAATCTTTTTCTCCAGTAAATTTTTTTTTATTATGTCCAGTGGTCCTGACAGGGCCTGGGACAATATTTCCAGCTGTCCACCCCCGACCGATCACACTGATGAGGAGAAAACGAGACGAGAATGGAAATAAACTATAATGGCAATAAATCCCTGAGTCTCAGATCACAATCGGGGAAAATCTGACTCATATAGCAAACAACCAATACATTCCACTGAAATGAGCTGACAAGGACAGATGTACATGGGTTATTGTGGCTGACACGAATTAAAGCCTCTCAATCACTGACATTCATCAGATGGGTAATCACCTCTAAGCAGACAATAATGGATGGAGCTCGATCGGTGATCAGATACTGACGGATGTGTTTGTGTGAGTCATTATGTTCTCTCTGGATTTGGTGTTTATAAGTGTTAAACTGCAGGTTTCTGACTGCTTACTGCCCCGAGATACACTCACAGTCTGTACTTTCACACATACACATAAACACAAGTTCAAACGTGCAGGACCACAAGCGTTATACATTCACAGGCACACAAAACATTCTTGTGCAAATAAATGCAGCCCCAACGGTTCATATACACAAGCAGGCAAACATTTATAAGTGGCATGTGGTGGATGTATACATACACATATAGATTCAGGGGAAGACAAACATCTCACACACACACACACACTATTCATGCCGGAGGCTGACATTTATGGCCCGTTACCTGTCTAGATGATATGCTGCGATCTCAGCGTTGTGCCTCTCGAAATCGGAGAAGTAGAAGAAGTCTGGGGGTGTCTCCTGCTCCCGTGTCTGCCTGCAAGGCAAAGGTTAATCTGCTGTAAGTCCCTTTCATCAACAAAGCCATAATCGCAGCCCTAGCCCATGAAACTAAAGCCACCCTGTCATAGGCGGAGGGTGGACCAACTCCAGGGTAAGGCTAAAAGCAGCCAAATCTATTAACTACAAATATCATAAACTCGTCTTTTTAGGCAAGAACCAGACATGGGTGTCATGTAGGCTAATAAAATATGTTTAATGGGACTGAATTTGTATTTAACGTGATTAAAATTTAATAAAAAACATTAGAAATTGGTAATTACAAAACGTTTCCTTTCCAAGGTTATTCAAACAGCGAATAAATTATTATACAGAAAGTGACATTATCACTAACTTTGATCTATCGCGAGTTTAATCACTCTCAAAAAAAAAAAACTATGTTATAATCACTTAAAGGGGTCGTATGATGCGATTTCAATTTTTCCTTTCTCTTTGGAGTTTTACAAGCTCTTGGTGCATAACGAAGGTCTGTAAAGTTGCAAAAACTAGTCTCAAATCCAAAGAGATATTCTTTATAAAAGTTAAGTCAACCACGCCTAAAATAATGTTCTTTTTAGCAACATCATATGACCCCTTTAAGCTGTCAACACTGTGAAATTAATCTCTTGTACATACATCTGCGCGTCCGGAATTCAGTCAGCGAACGCGCGTGCACTCAAAACTGATGAGTTTCAGCGATGACTCATCTGAACGCCTCTGAATGGCCATTGCATTCCTAAGCTCAACAGAATCGCATGTGATTGGTTATAATGCGCAACACTGTAAAAACACCTAAAATGAAATTCGGTGCAACATGAGCAGATCTTAATTTAATGCCGCAATCGACACTTTCTATTCATTTTCATTTTGTTACCAACAGTCGTAATATATTTAATTTGTTTGTGCGGGGGCATTTTTGTCCAATTTAGTGGCATTTTTGCCCCAACTCGCTGTGGCCAGCCTTACACACGCTCCGCCTATGCACCCTGTCAGGAAAACTTTAAGAGACGCCCCTCCATTATTTCTGGATTGATGTCTGGAAGAAAGTCTTTTCTTAACATATTTTACCTTATTTAACATACTTAACATGTTTTCATTCCTTATTTTATTACTCTTTAATTAAAAATAACCGAACCATGAAAAAAAAAATGAATATTAAAAAAATACTGCAATGCTAATACCTTAATGCTAATGACTGTTCTATTAAAGACCATGAAATTGCTTGAAGAACACAGTTTTCCTTCCTGTATTATGTATTTCCTATGGAAAGAGGTTGTTTGGACAGAACATATCAAATAGCTTGTGCCTTTAAAAAAAAATCAATTGGCCATGAACCATGATCTGCTAGTTGCTATTGTTAGTGAGTTGCAGTTGGTTTAAGGGGGAGGGACATTCTTCTCCGAGAGCATTTCATTGGACAAAAAATCTGTGTAGTGCAGAATGTAAATTTTGTTAGCATTTAGGAGTACACTAGCATACAGATGGCTTTAAAGATAACTGACATGGATTTAAAGCCACAAAACTTTTAACATCCAAAATTATGATATTGTACATGAGCAGTTAATAACAGACCAAACAATATGAAAACAATATTGTTTAATCAATACTTGTAGGTCAATGGAGGACATATCAAGTTCCAGGCAAACATTTCTCCACAGACAAGAGCCAGAGGAACTATTTTTACCCAACAGCCCGACTTCATACAGTCCTGTTGAAATGTTTTCAGCAGACTCCATTTCAAACATACTTGAGATTTCTCTCTACTCTCCTCCCTTCTCTCTCTCTCTCTCTCTGAATGCTGTCCGAATGTCAGAACAATTAAATCCAGCTGGGATCTCTCCTTTCTCAACAGTCTTTATCATGCAAGAAGACGGTTCAAAACAATAACTTTTCTGGAAAGTGAATCATGTCACATCCCAACGTCTTTGTGGCAAACAAGCCAGTCTGAACAAAAGACAAGGTAGCTGGTGTGAAGAGTGCCAGCTCTGTAATGGAAACAGATCCTTATCTTGGCAAAATCAGGCGTTCAAGTATCGTCCTCAGCTGGCGGCAGTCGTTTAAGGCGCAGCTGTGAGGCTTGACATGCTCACCAATCGTTAAATAACACAGCATGGGACCTGCCAAACGAGAGTCTCCAACTTCACATTCTTCTGCAGTCCGCTCCTCAGAGCCGCGGATAATATCGCTCCGTCGCCAACTGTGAACCTCTTTTCAGGCATGAAGGCCTGGATTTGTGTTTCTGCCGGAAGAAACAGGCCTACTACTGCACCGAACCCAGAAGCGTCCTTGTGATGAACTCGTTGGACCCTTGCCCCCAGACACTCAGATGTTTAATTGGCGGAGAAGTGTGTACGGGTGTTTCTTTATCTACGGGTACTTTTGGCCCTGTGGACTTTAAGAAAATAAAGTCCCCTAAAACACTTATCACTCTTACTAATTTATTTAATTTGTGCACTAACAATGACTGACAGTGTATTTACAATTACAAATATTTACAAATATTTTAAACATGTACTCAAGATGATTCAAATATATACAAAATATTTTCACAAAATTACAGCCTGACTGGAAAATGCACAATGGACATGCACTATGAAAATGTTCCGTTCAAAAGAGATATTTCTTCACACATCACAATGACTCACATTTCATCTCAGGCTCTTTAACTAACTCTATTGTCTCCTTGGTAAACAAGTACACAAGTACAATATTACAAAGAACTTTAATAGGTGCAAAATTGCTGGTTGCAATAAAAATGATGTGAATCAACAGGACTATGGTTGTAATTTGTATAACAATTCATAATATTTTCAGTCAATAAATATGGATTCTATTAAAGTTTTCCTCATTTACAAAGGTAATAATATTTTCAGAATGGATTCATATTTTAAGACACACTACCATTCAAAAGCTTGGGGTCAGTATGATCTTTTGAAAGAAATTAATACATCTATTCCGCAAAAATGCATTAAATTGAGCAAAAGTTACAGTAAAGGCATTTATAATGTTACAAAAGATTTCTACTTCAAATAAATAATGTTCTTTATATTTATTATAGAATCCTGAAAAAATATGTATCACTATTTCCACAAAGTAGCACAACTGTTTTCAACATTGATAAAAATAAGACCCATATAAAAATAATGTCCCATTGGGCATTAAATCTGCATATTATAAAGATTTCTGAAGAATTAGACTGGAGTAGCTAAATGCAGCCTTGGTGAGCATAAAAAAAAACAAACATTCAAAAATCTTACCCAACCCAAACTTTTGATCAGCAGTGTATATTCGTATATTTACACCACATTTTAAAAGAAGCAGCCAAGACATAAAACAAAAACAAAACTGAAATCTGCTAGTTTTAATAAAAAATTATGATCGGACATAAAAGTGTCCCAAGGAAACACCTGTGTACTTGTGGAAATGTACCACAATTTCACATTGATTTCAGTACTCTGGATACTGCATCAGCATGTTATCATAGCTATTATGAAAGCTCACTGTCTAATGTACTGCAGTGTAGTATTATGTCTCTAAGCACTTATTGAGCACCACTGTGCCCATGCACTTGACTCAGACAAGGCCTCCACTGCGGTGACAGCACATAGCATCTGCATACATCTGCCTCTGTTCAATAGTACGTTTTTCATCAAATAAGATTCCATCAAGGTAAATTCAGTGCTTAACATTAACTCCATAACACAAATGGTCCCAACAGAGAAAAAAAACAGGCTTTTTAAAAGGCTCTGAGACAGCAGCTGATGGCAAAACCCTCTGAGGAGTGTTCTGTGGGTGGAGAACTCTAAACCCCCTCCTCTCATGCTGGTACTCCAGACAACCTTGTTAAGCTGGAGCTTGAGAGCTCTCATTTATTCCCGTAAAACCCCAGAGAGACATGAGGAAAACAACACTCAGTTGACTGTTGGACCAGAAAACTATAACAAAGGAAACCAGACACAGGCCAAGCCTGTCAAAGGGTCAAAACAATCCCTGCGAAGAATTCTGTAAAGATTCGTTTCCTACATTCGACACAAACGACACTTCGGAGAGAGGAAAAATTCCCTCTGTATTAGTAAGACGGGTTTATGAGGCACTAAATATAAAAACGAAGAAAACAAATGTGTGTGCGAGACTGAAAGCCCAAGGTGAGTTTATTTCCATTTAGGGCTGCACGATAAATCGCATGCGATATTTAACGCGCATCTTGTCAGAAAAGCCGGTTCTGTAATCAGCGGTAAATCTCCATCTTAATAATCATAATGCTGCTCAATGTGAAAGCACGCACGTGATGGAGATTTACCGCTGATTACAGAACCGGCTTTCTGACAAGATACGCGTTAAATATCGCATGCGATTTATCGTGCAGCCCTATTTCCATTCAATTTTCTTCAAATGCACGTTCAGTGGATGTGGTTCGCTATAAAAGATGCCATGTGAACGGTCGCCACTCTTAATGTACACTTAAATGAGCCTCAAGATGGGCCTCTGGGATGTGTGCAGAGACATCTTAAAACCAACTCTGCTGAGAGCAGGATGTCTCTAGTGATCAAAATACACTGAGAGTGCTCTCCATGACCCTGTTACCTCAAGGTAAACACACTGTTTACTCCTGCCAGACCAATAGATTATTGATGCATGCAAACAGGCTCACAAAGACACTGGTATATGCTAGAGCTTGAGCAATACAAATGGAGATATTGGGGGGGGGGGAACAATTTTTAGGGATGCACTGAAATGTAACATTTCTGGCTGACAATTATTTTAACTGACTGATAATAAAATTAAATATTATTTATTTTCAAATAAATAAAAAATAAATACATAAAATAAAATAATAAATTCATTTTCACGTGTGCATTCATGAGAGCATTGTTAAGCGCTACATCTACACAATGTGAAGCATAAAGCACATTATGAAGTTCACATAAAAGGTGATGCAGAAGCATGAAGGACCTTCAATTCTCATGTAAACTTCACGCATATGCACCGGTCATTCAC